AACTAAACCTTTTCCGGCGAAGTCGTCGCAAACGAGCAGAGTGTTTGAAGGATATTTTTTGAAGGGGTATTTTGAAAGTTTTGATAGAATGTAGTTTGTAAGTCGTTTCATATCGTAAACTCCTGAGTATTGACGTAAGTGGTGTTTGTCAATAATTCTTTCCATCTCCTCAGAAGTCTTTTGCATTCCTGACTGTATGAACTCTACGATGGCATAATATTTTCTCTTACGTCAAATGTAACGTTGAAGAAATTCAATGAGTTCACTGTCTGGAACTTTAACGACAGAGGCTTGAACTTTTGACATAAATGTTTTCGCTGTTGAGTCCATAGAGTCTGAAGTTGCTGATATAATGATTTGGTCATAGTAAGAGTCGTTTCCTAAACGCTCTGTTATGAGTTATGACGAATGAGGTTAAATGTCTTACCTGAACCCATCTTTCCACAATAGAAATACACACCATTTGAACAGAATTCATAATCTTTGCTGAAAGGAAGAATAAGAGAAGAGTTAAGTTTGTCTGTAGTTTCATTCATGTCTTCATCTACATCATGTATTAAATGCTTCATTTTATCTCCATTAAAAATGCAAGTCAGAAATATTCAGAACATAGCACCGAGTCTAACTGACAAGAGTATAAAGATATACTATGAACACGTTATGATGAACCAACCAAAATTCAAGAAAGTCAGTATACTTATGAATATCCAAGACACTGGGTAGAGTATGTAGGAGGTGAGAAAGCTATTGAAATCAGACAGGTTCGAAGTATTCCAGCAGGAAGAACAATATTATTGAAGAAACTTTAATGTTTTGAGATATAATGATGAAACAAAGAAGCAAGATAGTTTTCCTGTTGCTGTGTATGTGAACCTAGACACAGGAGATGACATGAAAGTTTTTAACACAAAGCTTCAAACGGTAGTGAGAGAACAACTTACTGCGGAAGGACATCCATTACCTTCAGAAGTTACCATAGCATATAATTTTGAAACAAACTCAATAGATTTTAAAGTCGTCTCTGCAAAGAAGTCAGGTTTTACATTTAATGAAGCAGATGTATATTCGAATGAAAACTTCAAAGCTATTGCATGGTTAGATAATGACGATTGCTTTAAGAAAATATTTAAATTCAGTGACTCAAAGATGTCAATAGATGACCTTCGTGGAATGTTACCATCGACGTTTACAGTAGAAGGTTCAGCAGGATGCTTACAAGATTGTCAATTGGTGCATTTGGTCTCGTGAGAACATTGTTATAAAATCCAGTATAAGTGAATTTGCTGAAGAATCTATATTATTTCTTTCAAACTATATGTATTCGCCGCCGAAGCATTATAGTATAACAAACTTTGTCAGTAAGTTTAACATAAGACTTGTCGAACCTTCTTCAATGAAAGATGTTGTGCTACCCAAAGACGGAAAGGATGGACTCATTATTGAGATGATTTTAATTGCATATTAAATGAGCTTGTTCTTGAAGGTCATTCATGATGAAATAACTGTTGTAGAAGATGTTAGCAATTGTTCAGACATTTTGAAGCGTATAGATGATATAAGAAAGAAGTTTATGAATGAGAATGTTTATGTTTCATTGACTTTCTCCAGTAATGAAACTTTTATGAGATAATGTTGAAGAGAGATGATTTTAATATGGTGTAAATGGTAGCTTGGGCAGCTTTAGGCGCAATGGGAACAAAAGCATTAGCATTTGGAGCAAAAGCACTTGGAGCTTATGACGCAGTAAATAAAATGAGTGGAGGAAGGGTTTCAAAGACATTAGATGCAAATAAAGGAAAGATTGGAGGCTGGGTTGCAAAGAAGTTAAGATTAAATAAAATAGGGCTCATAAATAAAGCATCCAATTTGGTTGCGACTGAGTCAGAAAATGCTTTAGGAAAGGACGATGAGTTTGCAAAACACGCAAAAGACTTTAATGACCAGATGAAAGGTGAAACAATGCATTTAAATAGAGTCGATGGAACTAAAGAAAATGTTTCTTCTCCACCAGCGGTTTATCCATACGGACCTTATGGAATGTATGGAAACCCTTATGAACGACCATTTGACTCATTGACTGGTGGAAGTAATTGGTATCATTATGGACGAAGAAGAAAGACAGTCAAGTTGGAGACAGACATGAAGAAAGCAACTAAAAAGAAACCAAGGAAGAGAGTTATAAAGCAATGAATTCAACAGGGTGAAAAACCGGGTGAAAAAAGAGGTGAGATTTCACCACTTCATCTAAATTTATTTTTGTGCTATGTTTTCATACGTGTGAGGGTGGTGATATCATTAATTTTTAAGTTTATTTTTTTAAAATTATTTTTTATTTTATTTTTATATAAATGACGAAAACTATTGAGATAACAAACTACAACGGTCATGAGTTCAAGAATTTGTTCTTCGTTCCTCGTGAAAATACATTCTATCAGATACGAGGGAGAAAGGGTAAAGTTAGTTTGAGCGTTTATGAAGGAATGAAGAATGGAAAGTTTATACAAGCATACGATACAAACGGTAAACGTGTTTCATTAGCTTTGTCAAAACTTACTAACATTTATTTTGACAGTGACTTTGACTCTGACGATTGGAGCGACAGCAGCGATACTGAAGAATATGAACTATTGTGTGAAGCACAGCAATGGGAAGAGTTGCAATACTTTTGTAAGTGAGAACGTTTATTTTTTACAGTAGTGAAGTCGTTTGTGAAAACGTTAGTGAGGTGAAGTGGTTGGCTGCTTTATAAATATTTAAGGTTAAGTTGGTGTTGGTGTTTGTGTTGTAAAATATACGTTAACGGTTTTGTAAAGTGTCAAATTCACATATAATGGGTAAGGAGGCTCGCAGTGCCTCCGTACACATGATATGTATACTAAAGAAGCAGCAGACACTCGCAATGCGAACCGAATTGTCACAGAAAGACCTGGCAGGGGGTCCTTTCTCAAGGTCAGGGCCCCCTTCTAGTCTTTCTGGTCCTGGAAGGAGCGCTTCTGACTGGTCTGTGCGCTCCTTCCAAGAAGATCAGTAGATTGCGCCAATAAGCTCCTATCAACAAATTTTGACTAAAAATATAAAGTATTCTTTTGTGATTTATCAAATAGCTCAATTTTAAAATAGATTTGATTCTAATAATAAATTGAATGAGTTTCGCTTACGTTTAGAATTTAATGATTTTTTCGTTCACAGAAGAGTCATTGATATCCAATATCACAAAACAGCAAAGACACACCATAATAAATGATATTGAAGCTAAATATTACATATTTCAACATATCTAAAAAATTATTAAGATTAGATCTCATGCAATGCCGAGCAGTTTCCTAAAGCATAATTACTTATTTATACAGAATCATGTATATCATTTTCATATTGCAAATTATATATATTCTCACGAAGCAACATGAAATAGACTGTCCGAATTTAAATTCAAATAAAAATCCAATTCCAAAGATTTTCTTGCAATATGTAATCTCGGTGTTGATTACTCGAATACAAAGGATGCACGTAATTTACAAATAGTTGCATTAATAGTAGTACAACAAAAATTTGATTTTTAGCTTGTCACTTGATATATAAAAATTGCAAAAACTCAATCAAAAATAGGATTTGGACAACTTTTTAAAATTGTGAGAAAAATTCTATCGGCACATTCTATTCAATTTTAAAGTATTTCTTTCATATTCCAATCGATTATTCAATAATTGCCAATCACAAATTTTAGTTCAAAATTCAAAAAATCCCTAATTTTAATTTCAGATGAAATCTCGCAAAAATAACATTGTTTTAACCATATAAATATATATTTTATATATTGTATAGTGATTTTTTAATATTTTTATGAGTAAAATCGAGAGTGAGGAAATGTGGACTACAAAAAACGATAGAAATGAATAGTTTACATGGAAATTCTATACTTACAAGTATTCAATGTCACTTTTGTGCTCGAGATTTTGATTCTAGTATAAGAATAAAAAGCGTAAGAATCATACATTTATTTTATCGATTGTATGAAAATTACTTACAAAATCGGCCAATATTGTGTGAATTCTTACGATTACAAAAAAAGTCACCAAACCTGCATGCATATACTACTATTGAAAAAATTAATCTTTTAACTAAATTGGTTAATAGATTTTGTTTAGACATAAACAAACTAACGACATCAAATATGAGAATCGTGAATTATATTATATAAGTATAAAATCAAATCATTTTTATCGGGTTTGAGCTTCTTTGAAGCGAATTTTACATCATATTGGATGAATAAATCGATTCGATTTCTCTTTTGTTATAAATACATTTGCATTCCATGGATATCATTCATATCTCACAATTTTTATCTTATTGTTTGATGATATAGTAGCTACTAACGAAGCAATCCGTTTTATTCTTATAATCAATTTTAATCTTCAAATAAAAAGAAGTAATCCACTAATCTAATTTTTCTGAGATAAATTTGCTTTCTTTCAATGAAAACATACTAATTACATACAAAAATCCATGGTGGTGTATATTGTTATAGAATGATTCTTATAAAACTTTTTTAGATGACGAAATACAAATCTTTTAGCTATCCCATATACTGATAACTCCCCAAAATTAAGAATATAAGTATAAGAAGCGACTAATCTTGATATTTTTCATAATATGAAGGTTCGCAGATTTTTATGAAGATATTAAGTTAAATATCTTCTTGAGAAGATTTCGATGTAAACCAAAATCGACAACCCTATAACATACATCAAATGTCTGTCATTTCACTGTTTCAGATATTATAAAAGAATTTCCAGAAAAAGATTTGATGAGAGATAAGTTACTTATAGATCTATATATACATCCTGGTAAGTGATTAATGGCATCAATGGCTAAGCTAAACTGCTAATTTTTGGCGAAAAAAAATTTTAAAAAAGATTTAAAAAGTTAAACAGAGTAAACTATCATTTTAAAACTGCATATACTCTTTAAATAAAAAAAGAATTAAAATAAAAAAATTATGATTAGAAGTAAAGTTCTTCCTGATCCCACTGGATAACAGGGCATTCCTTCTTGATATCTTCTAAAATTGTCTTCTTGTCTGTGCGTTCGCAAAGGTGAGTGAAAATATTCATCTTTGCAAGCTCATTTTCATCAATTTCACCACAATAAGTACGGAAACCTTCAATAGCTGTTCTATAGCAGTCGTAATCGATGTAGTTGACGAACTTTGTGCCAACAGGTAAGCCATTTGGAACAATTCTGCGGGTAATTCCATCAAATATCTTATCAGAGCGAGCTCTACGCTGGACTTCATGTTCGATCTGTCCTTTGATGGCGTTGGCCTCTTCCTTGGATGTTGTCTCCTTCAAACGGCGCTGGAGATACTCAAGAGCTGCAACATGTGTTGATGCACCGTTTTCTACTGAGTTTTCAGAATCGCCAGAGTCCTCGTTGTTAACCTCTTCTGGTTCTGCGTTGAGTAAGAAGGTGGAAAGTGGTAATTTGGCAAGCTTCATATCGCCAAATGATAAAACATGGCTGTGGACTGTTCGTTCGGCAGCTGCGTTGGCGGAATCGATTAATCTGCCATCTGGGTGCTCCAAAATGTACTTAAGGAAGTTCTGTGTGAACTCATTAGATCTGAAAGTATGGAGCCTCGAATCCCACTGAGCGGAGTAAGATGGCTGCTGGTCTGAAGCCGCTGTAATGATAAAAACATTTGGCTCGGTGATGTTAAGCGCAACGGAGCCGGAATAACAAGCTTCAATAACGAAGAAGAGATTACGGAATTTCTTTTCCTTTTTCATCTGGGAAATAACGGAGGCGATGTTATCAGCATAAATTTCGGGTCCATTGTTATGAGGAACGCAGAGAAGACCTGGAGCACCATGATCATCGTAATAAACGAAAACGTCGTCTTCAGCTGTGGATTGCAATGCTCTGCCGTTGTGTGTATCGCCGAGTAAAACACGGAAGAAATTCTCTGCATTAGCATCTTGTCCTGTATAATCGATGTTTTCACGGCCTGGGTATACGTTTTTATGGTCTGCTGTGGCGAAGATTTTGCCTGGGTATGGGTTGTCTTTATGTCTAACAACATCGTTGTAGGCTAATGTAATAATATTTTCTTTTGGAAATCCACGGGTCTTTATGATGTCGTAGATGTGGAAAATATCGGCTTGGTGACGGTAGTTGTTATAGCCACGAGAACCGGCCATTAAAACTGCCCATTGCTTTGAAACAGATAGAGCGGAAAAAACAAGAAACATTATTTTTTGATCTTCTCAAATTGATGTCACGTTTATTGTCAGATTGACAAAGATTTTCGACATATTTTTAGAATCTAGTAAATATTAATATTTTTATAATTTTGAGGAAAATTTCAAATTGAACCTCAAAATTTTTCTCCATGAACAAATGTCACGTTTATTTGGAAATTTCTGTTAGATAGGAAAAGAAATAAATTTTACAATAAAAAAGTGTTTTACAATAGAATGGCTCATAAAATTTAGATTGTGATAGAGAAGCATATTCAACTTTTAAAAATCCTGGAATTATTTTTTTCTTTATTGATTTGGGAGGAATCATATCATTTCATCAATAATGGTGTAATGCTTAATCTGGTCATGAAGTTCTTCTATCAAGACGACAATAAAATTTTTCAACATATCTTTATTTCATATTTTAGTAACCCATAGTTTGACGTATTTGTGCAAGAATAATGTCCAAATGAAAGAAGCCCAATAGCAAAACTACCTTAGGAAATGAGTTGATTTAACTACAATGGCTCATTGATATCAATTTATATTTTAAAATTTAGGATGTATATTGATGAATGTTTATGGAAAATGCACTCTCACTGGATTTAAAGTATGAAAACGGAAGGTCCAGTTAATATCTACCTTTAAATCTCAATTAGTATTGCAATCTTTAATATGGTATGACTATTTATTTGTTTTATTGGCTCCAAAAGAACTTAGATAATCTCTTACTTCATCTTTTGCAATTGAGAGTGGAGTATTACCATCATTGTCCTTTGCTTCTTTATCGGCTCCAACAGAGATAAGATATTTAACAACTTCAAGATAACCATTTTCTGATGCATAAATGAGTGGAGTATTACCATCATTATCCTTTGCTTCTTTATCGGCTCCAACAGAGATAAGATATTTAACAACTTCAAGATAATTAGTCCTTGATGCTATAAAGAGCGGAGTCCATCCATATGAAGTCTTTGTATCTTTATCACAGTTACATTCGATAAGAGATTTAATGAGCCTAAGATTTCCTAAAAGGCTTGCATAGTGAAGTATATTGAAACCCCACCCATTTGTCTTTTTCCAAAGGCCTTCTTCACAAACTTTTGACATCATTACTTTATCTCCTTTCGCAGAAAGCTCATCAAAGAACTCATAAACACTATCAAAATCACTGGATTCCTTAAGTTCTGAAATTTTATTTAAAAACTCTTTTGGATAGTTATAATTACAATTAATTGTTGTTTCTTAAGCATCATTTTGTCTTTGATTTTGAAATTCATTTAATTCTTCTTGAAGTTTTTTTATTTTTGCTGAAGAATCACGTAACTCTTTGTCTGTTTGATTTAAGTAATTAATGATGCCTTCTAATACATTGAATTTCATGTATTGTTTAATCGATTTCAGGATTGAGATGATTTCTTAGACGTTTTGGAGAGTAACATTTGCATTTCGTGTACAGGTATATAACTCTTTGGTATTAATTGTTGAAGAAGATTGTTTGAGAAGAGTAATGTACTGATCAACGGTCAATTTCGAATATTTCATGATTGTTTTAATATCTCCTATATCGAATATATCAAAAAGAGTTTCATTGTCAATATAATCACTGATATGAGCACCAATGTATTCATAATTCAGATTCATGACCTGTTTCGAAACTTTACAAAAAAATTTTCATTTCAAAAAAAAATGTTGAATAATAATTCATTAAGGATAAAGAATAATATTTCTCTTATTTACAAAAAGCGTTTATTTTTTGACAAAAATATCGGTTTACAATTTATTGTCAAAATCTAGCGTAGATTTATTTATCAAGAAATGTCGAGGGGAAGAGCAATTATGAAGGAGAATGCAACTTATAAAGTTGAAACCATATCACGTGTGTATGCTGATGTCAATGAGAAACGTGGTCCAGCTTGGTACGAAAGTGAAAACTGGAAATTACCAACAGTTCCTCCAGATGGCTATGAAATCGGAGAATGGATTGGTACAGGAAAGTATAGTGATGTATTTCTTGGTTACAAGGGCGATAAGAAAGTCGCTCTTAAAGTAATGAAACCTGTTCGTCCTCAAAAATACAATCGTGAAGCAAAAATAATGTTAAACCTGAAAGATGGAACAAGCATTGTTAAGTTACTTGATATAGTGCAAACAGAAGATTCCAAACGTTACATTTTTGTTCAAGAATACGTTGAAGCTGTTGAATTTAACCTTTTATACCCTAATTTCACAGATAACGAGGCACGCATATATCTTTATCAACTACTTCGTGCCCTGGAGTATGCCCACTCAAGAGGAATCATGCATCGCGATATAAAACCACAAAACGTCTTATATGATCCCACGACCAAGAAACTTCGCCTGATTGATTGGGGCTTGGCGGAGTTCTACCACCCAGGAACTCATTACAATATTCACGTCGCTTCGAAACATTTCAAACCTATTGAGCTTCTTGTCGATTATCAATGCTACGACTATTCGATTGACATGTGGGGATTCGGAGTCACAATGCTTGGTATCATTTTTGGCAAAACTCCTTACTTTAGAGGCTCAGATGATTATGATATGGTATCGAAGATCGTTGGATTACTTGGACGCAATGATTTTGATGCTTACGTAAAGAAATACGGAATCCAGCTCCCAGAAGCTTTAATTAGAAGTCTTCCGAAAAATCCAAACCGCAAAGACCTTCATACGATCGCTTCAAAGGCTCCAAGAGGACTTATTAACAATGAGTCAATCGATCTCATCGATCGCTGCCTTCGTTACGACCACATGGAGCGTATTTCCGCTGAAGAAGCCCTAAAGCATCCTTACTTCGACTCGATCAGGTCTCTCAAGTTGCCATAAAGCCAAGTGTAATATCTCTGTAAAATATTAATTATAACAAATTTTTTATTACTTTTTTCTTTAAGGATACCCTTACGTGTCAGATTTTTTGCGCATACGAAGAAGTCATGCTAGACATGAGCTATAAACCTGAAATTTTAGCAACATATTTAAAACTTTTTAAACTACAATACACTTTAATATTCAAGAACAAAAATATTCTTTTTAGAAATTACATAATTATTTTATGTGAAATCTATATAAAAACATATTTTGCGAGCGTAACTTTTTTCTTTATAAGCACCTTATATGACTGATAAACTGTGAAGGCACATAATTGTTAATTCATAGAGTTGATATGTTTCCAAAATTGAGAGGAAATTTGAAAATTGAATACCCTTTCAATTCAATTTTCAAAAGATATCAGCTCCTTCAATAATTGAAGGACGATTTTGATCATTTGCTCTTAAAACAAGTATGCCATGGAGAAAAAAGTTACGCTCGCAAATCTGAAATATAACTATCATATAAAAAAATTAAATTTCTAATTTTTTACTCTATAGATATTATTGGCCACTTGTGTAATGCATAAAAGTTTATGTCATATGCATACATTTGGAAGTATGGGAGACGAGGGAAATTACTTCTATGAGGCACTAGGATTTTTAAAAATTTCTCTATCGGACTCACCATTCAATTTCTCGAAAATTAAAAAAAATCAATAATAGCTAAAATGTATTATGCATAACAAATTTTAATGTTACACGGTATTTTTTGAACTTCATGACATGAATTTTCTTTATATTTTTTTTTTTGGATTTTCTATGATTTATGCGATAGGCTGGAACAACATTGTAAGTGCAATGATATCATTTATAGAGAAATCTAAAACTTCAGCATTCAGAACTCGCAACCACAAAAATATTCATTTGCTAAGTAAGTAAAGTTGATTAAGTTCGACACTTAGCTTTTATACGTAAAACCAAGTGTGTATTGTTATTTCTTGTTAAATTATTGAGAAAAAAATAAATTGTAAGAGAAACGATACTGATTATTGAAATAATATTGAGGGTAGCTGCAGATTTCTTCATTAACATGCCGGAAATTTGTTAATCTTGGTTTTCTATCATAAAATCTGTCGAAGAATCTAAAAACGGAGATATGAAATAGAGATCATGTAAATCTAGAGTATCCTGTCAGAAAAATAGACTAAGCATGTAACCCTTTTTTGGTCATAAACACTTTTTACCACTTAGTCATACAGATGATCATTAAATTTAAACGAGCACTTTTTGTCAGAATTTATTCTTTTACAAAGACAGAAGATTTTAGTATTATTTAATATTAGTGCTGTAGCAAAATTCAAAAAACGGTGAAAATTCAGTGAATTTGTGAATTCACATTTTTTTTCGACATTTTTCTTGATATATCCATGCACATTAAGAACACAGCTTTGATACGCTTAAAAAAGCATATTTCATATGAAATTGTTAAAGAAATAAACAATTTATATAAAAATTGCACTTATGGGCAGTTTAGATATATAATTTATATATAACATATATACAAATCCATAGACAAAGTGCAATAACTACAATGTTGTAGAAAATTACAGCAGAAATACTGACTTTTTGAAGGATAATAAGAATTCTTCTAAAAATACTGAAAATTAACATATTTCTGTACTCAATTTAGTATATGCACAGAAGTTATGATTTGGTGTTAGGTTTTTATGCCCCAAAATCTAGATTTTTGTGACATCAAATCTTATTAGTGGATAAATCAAAGACTGTCATTTTGAAATAAGCTCATATCAATAAATATCCATTTAAAAGCCTTATTATAATATGTAACTAGAAAAAGCCTAATATTTATCAAAATTAATCAAATCAAATGATCAATATTCATGATATGTCATCAGCAATAGCTAATTGATATTTTATTTTGTATTGATATTCATTTTTCTCATATTATACACGATTATATCTCTTTTTTTTAAAAAAAGTTTTTATATTAGACATGAAAGTTGAATTAATACAATTTTGTACTAGAGTTTGTTTGTATATTAAATAATAATGATATATACTTCAACATATTGCGTCTCACCATTACCAAAATGTAATTTTGCATACAATTTTCTTTCATTTAACAATGATGTTATTTGAAAAGTGATACTTCCATGATTATTGATTAATGTTCCATCATATATAGGAATGAATGTTAAACAAGACACGCCTGCAGCTGGGTGCATTCGTGGCATTGTGATAAGGCTTATATATAAAGACTTCTCTCGATCAGCATTACGTCAAATGAATATTGACCCATTATTTTGGCGATGCGCTAGTTCCAAGTAGAAATGCTTTGGTATATTTAGGTTATGTCTATATGTTATGAATCATGGTATTATTGATAAAAACGTTCTTAGTCATTAAATCAATCCTAGTATCTAAAGATATAATTTAGATTTTTTTGTTTATTGCTAAAATTAAATACAGTATAACTTTCTTTCATATTGTCGGTACTAACAATACAAGATTGTGTTGAAAAAAACTTAAATATGCATGAAAATTAAATTTAATGTGTAAATATGATAAAAATTTCAACTTTACTAATAACATACATAAGTTTCTGATAGTTTAATATAGTTCATATTGATGTGACTGTAAACTATATCAAAAAAATATTTTTAAATATTGTTATGCAAATAATGGGATTTCTAAGGAAAAAATGATTATATTTGTTATATAAAGCAATCTTTTTAATTATTCACTACGTTTATTACATTTTTTGCCGACATTTACGTAATATGCCTCCACCAAGCAGACGCAAACAACAAAGTCGTGAAGCTAACGAAAAATCAATTGAAGCAAGAAAAAACTCCCAAGAAAAGAATGCGCCAAAGGAAGTCGATCCAAAACACTGGACTGCTTCTGTAATTGTTAATGGTGACTCTTATACTCGAGCAAGGAATTTATTTCAAGATAACAATATTAAAGTGCCGAGTGAAAAAGAGTTTTACCGTCATCAAAAAGAAATAGGTAAGGTAATACTAGAATATAAAGAGCAATCTATTAAAAATGCTCAACAAACAATGAAGAAAGATACATTTTTAAGCACTGATTCGCATTATAATGTTGGCAGAAATGCTACAGCGTGCCAAAGTTTAATGATGGACAACCGTGGAAAAGTTGTTGGTGAAACAACTGTTATAAAAAAGAGCTCTGGAGGAGACTTTGAAGGCTCATCCAACATGATGGAAACAGAATGTACAAAGAGGATGATGTCAAATTTTGACTTTACAAATGTTTCCACAGTGGTTCATGACAATGACAATAAAACGAAAGCCATCATCCAGCAATATGCTCCGAATGCTAAAATTACACTTGATCCTCGTCATTGTGTACGTGCAGTTGGCAGAGCTTTCGAAAAGCTTGAAAATGGTGGATATAAAGAAGCAGCAGGAAAAGAAACTGTTAATCAACAGAAAGAAAGTGAATCACAGCCAGCATTCCCAATCAAATCTAAAGCAGAAGAGCCGAAGAAACGTGGAAGACCATTAAAACACCAAGAAAAAGTATTTCATCAGATATATTCGAAAGTTATTAAGTGGTTCACTTTTATTATCATGCTTCCAATTGAAACAACAAAAAAATTTTCCTATGGAAGAATACATTAAATCATTTTATCGGAAGGCATGAAAATTGCCTTCACGAAAAAGACAAAGAATATCCTGTGTTTCAGCCACTTACAAAACCTGATTTAGCGAAGCAATTTCAACGTTTTACAGATGATGCCGCAAAGTTGATTCCAGAAATTGATCCTAATGCTCAAACACAACAAAATGAATCGATACATCACTCAATGCTTACTCAGTGTCCCAAAGGAAACAACGCAAAATCGTTTGAAATGCGTACGGCTGTTACAATTTTACAAAAAAACGAAGGAGAGAAATGCAAACAAGAAATATACAATCGTGTCAATAATTACCAAATATCTCCTTCAATCCGCGAACTCCAAAAACTTGAATATGAGAAAAATAAATCCAGAAATCAAAAGAAAGCTACACCAGAAACAAGAAAAGAGATCAACAAGGCAAGAAATGCAAAAAGATTTCCTAAGGATAACCCTACAGGTGATTACAGAGGAGGAAAGTGGACCCCACAAGATATCTAATTTTCAAATTTGAAATAAACACATATTTTCTTTGTATTTGAAAATATTTTTATATTATAAGATTTTTGAACCTATAAGTAGCATGACAAAAATTATATAATTTGCTCCTTTTTTATTTTAGTATACAAATATCCCATTTGTTATATGTTCGGTATATATATGATGATATTGTAATCAATTATGCTTAATGAAGCTTTATCCCGTGAACCCCTCATATTATTGGAAAATAAATAGCGAAAACATGTAGAGCTGCTATGTTCTCAAGTGTATGCTGATTTTTGGATTATTTCATGAAAACTAATGGCGGGATATCTTGCATTATTTAAAAAAATTGAACTATGCAAAAATAAATAGTATTATATTTTTTCTCATGAAATGCTATTATGAGACAACCATAAAAAACCATATGTTGTATTTTTATAATTTGATTGATTTTTTTTACTATTTCATTAATCTTTTATGAATAATTATTTTTAATATATGTGCTATTAAAATTTCAAATTTTGACTAATATATCTAAGTTATCTGAACGAAACATTTAGAAAATATCATACTTACATTGAAATAGCAAGTAGAGCATATTAATAGCAAGTTTCTTGGCTTTATATCTATCATCTATTGTTGTTTGATCAAACAAAATTCACTCTATTATATGGTGTCAATTAATTAAAACAATTTTTAATAGTTATTTATTTAGTGCGAATAAGTGCAAACTCATAAATGAATAACTTAATAGTAGAAATGAATTATCTGATATAAATCTCACATTTTGTCCATCAGAAATACTTTAATTGCATACGCATAACTATTAGTAACACGTCTGGAAAAAAAAAAGGTAGTGGGGCCTCCAGGCACTTCGTGCCCTCTAGCCCTGAAGATGTTTAGTATAACTTTGTCCGGACAAGTAAGGGTCTATCGTCGCTACAGGAAAAGTTACAGGCGTTCCAAGGAAGTATACTTTGAGAAGCCTTTTCTCCCTTATAGAATGAGATAGGACGGTTATTTTACAAAACTGACAACACTTTGACCGAGTAGTTTTTTGAGCTGAACAAAAAGTGTCATATAAACATCTGTCAAAAACCGCTTTTTAACTTCACTTAAAATGCCACGTAAGCTACGTAAGAATATACGTAAGAGGAAGGGAGCATTGAAACATCCAATAGTAAAACTGACACCACAACAACAGTTGCAACAACAAATGATGAATGACCCCACTATGTTGCAACAAATGTCAAGCAACCCTATGCTTTTAAACCGAGTTATTGGTGCACAGAGTGGAGGTTTAAGAGCGGCACTTTTAGCGAAAATGGCAGGCTATGGTGGAGCTGCAGACGGAACAGCTTATAACCCTCAAAGTCAAATGAATTTGAGTTCACTCAAAAATCAAACAACAGATGTCAAAAAGTCAAACATAGACATACAGAAACAAATAAGTGAAAACGAAAAGAAACTAGAATATGACAGACACACAAAGAAACTCAATGAGTTAAACGTAGAGAAAAAGAAGAAAGAAGAACAACTGAAAGAACTAAGTACAGAGGAATATGCGAAAAAAGTGTCAGAAAAAGCAGCAGAAGTAGCAAAAATGGAACAAGATGTTATAAATTTGAAAAACCATACTACTCAATATAAAGTACTGAAAGATGAAGAGATAAAACAAAAAGCCATGAAGACATATATGGATAGCGATGAGTATAAAAAAGAAGTTGAAGCAAATGTAAAGGCAGAAAAACTTTTACAGTTGCAAAACCAAACCGTACAGTATGAAAACTTAGCACAAGAAAGTAAAAATAACGACGCAGCCATGCAAAAGGCAATGAAAAGCGCAGAATATATAAAAGCTAATAATGACTGGTTAGATGCCCAAGCCAACGCTAAAGCAGCCCAACTTATAGGGTCAATAAGGACAAAAATACAAGCGGATGAAGACAGTTCAAATGAAGCTTTAATGAATGCTGACTTTAAGAACGCCTTCGAAGCTCTTCATAGTAAGGTGAAACTAGTGAACGACTTCTCATCTGGAAAGAAACTGAAGTCTGAAGGTTTCGACAAAGAGTTAAGAGAAGTAGCACAAAATATGACGAAAATAACAGATGCAGCAACGAGACAGGCAGTTCAAAGTGCTTATGACGCCGTTAGAGCAACTGTTGTGGAAAGTCAAGAAAAAGAGTTACAACAGACCAAAACAGACCTAGTAAATGCTTTCTTAAAAACGAAAAGTCAGGTAGGACATTATGCTGCAGATGGAACATATGTGCCAGCTGGTGGAACTTATATACCACCAAACCCTCCAAGAGAAGCACCTGCACCAGGACTACCTAAAACATTTACATCGTCACATGGACACAGACACAGGCATGCACCAAAACCAACACAACAACAACAACCAGCACAACAACAACAACCAACACAACAACCAGCACCACAACCAACAGTTCAAAACACTGCACCACAACCAACAGTTCAAAACACTGCACCACAACCAACAGTTCAAAACACTGCACAGCAACAACCACAAACAGAGCAAGGACATAAAAGAAGTAGAGAACAAGGAAACCAAGAATTCTTAAAAATGCTTAAGGAAGACTATGGTTACCCAGATACTCTTGACTTTAGTGACAGATATAAAGAAGCTATTAGAAAGTTCAAGGAAGGAAATACTGACCCGAACCTATTTAGCTTTATGGTTCAGCACCAAATGGGATATAATTTCAAACCTGGAAAATACAAGCTCGCTAAGAGATATGATTTAATAGCATATCATCCAAATGACATGACTGAATTTACTCCGAGATATTTGGTGTCAGAGCTAAATGATAATTCAACTCTCTTCATGAAACGCGTAAAAAATAGAGACGGAACGAAAGAAGAAAGGTTTATGAGTCCGGATGACTTAGATAGGGAACTTGTTAAAAACGGTCTCGGAATATATGAAATGCCAGCAGATGAGGTACAAGAAACTCCACAGGAAGAAGTTCAGATACAACCAGACATGGAAGAAATAGTTCAGCAACAACAGCTAGAAGAGCCTGAAGGAAACGAACAAGTCCCTCCTTTGGAAACTAACTTCACAGAACTAGATGAAGATTTGGAACAGCCGAAAAATCTTGACCCTCAACAAGAGTATGCGGAGAATATGGAATCTTTCCAAGAGTCTAAGAAAAATTCGGCTGACATAGTAGAAGAATATCGAAAAATGTTTGCCGACATACAAAAGACTCCAACACCAGATGAAAATATTCAGCATAGAATGGAAGTACTGAAAGAAAATGTACGCAAATACAATAACCCTTTTTACTTACGACCATATAACGTTCAATCTTTGGCTGAACTCGGTGAAAATAAAAGGTTAAATTTCAACAAAACATATAGAAATGAAACATTGTTTAAAGTTCATTCAGAACCTAACCAATATGGAAACAAACCTACTTTTGTTTCTGCAGACTATGGAACTACAATGAGATGGGGTCATAAAGCTAACCCGGATAGGTGGTTCATAAACTTACAACCACAATTCCAAGAAGTTGTAGACGCAATGGAAGTGAATGGTGAACCAGATATAGCTGGTATTTTCAGCGCGGCTTTAATGCCATTGAAAGATATGAAAGATGCAGATATTTTGGACCAGTATGAAATGAACATGGCTGATGGAAATATAACACCTGACGTTCTAGAACATTTATCTCAAAGAACTACACAGAACCATAAAGATGGTATATTTGGTGAAGAGTTTAGAAAGAAAGTTAGGGATAGAGAAGGAAGAGAACCTATTGTACATGACCTTGCAAACGAAAGTTTACAAAATGTCATAAAAACTTACTTTGCAGACAATGAACCGAGAAGGGATGAATATTTAAGAAAACTCAAATGGACAGTACCAAATGAAATGTTAGTATTGAAAAAACATGTTCCTTGACAAAATAAAACCAACTACAGAAATAAATGACGCAAGACTGAAACATTGGGTAAAAGCTTTCCCATTCACAAAAGATATAATTGGTAACATGGAAAGAAAACCAGAATGGCTACAAAAACATATATTTGGAAACGAGCTTATTCCATATGGACAAGCTCTGTTTGAAGAGCTTGAACCGGAAACTCAGGAAAGAGTCATGCAAACAATACGCGAAGACTCAAATACAAACTATGACAAAATCTTTCTAGGATATAGGTTACCTGAGATGGGCGACCAGAGCCCAAAGGCAAAAAGGACATGGGAAATTTACAACATACTAGGTGAACATGAGGCAAAAGATGCAACAACTTGAAGCAGAGGGCAAGTTACCAAAAGCGACACCAAAGAAGAAGAGAAGAGTAGAACAAAGTGAAAGTAGTGAAGATGCAACTAGTGAAAGTAGTGGCAATGAAGGAAAAAGAAGAGTTAAAAACTCAGTCAGGAAGAAAGTAAAGCTTGGTCCGAGTGGGTTCTATTATGACACATAAATCCAACTATTCTATATTTTTACCCATATGAAATGTACGCCGCTCAGAATATAACGCCAACAGTTTTGGATGCCATGAACGGAAATGTTTCCGAATGGTATAACGAATGCGACAATGCCATTAGAAGGTCAGAAATAGTTCCTGGAACTTACGAATATACAACTGCTGTTTCTTATGGAAACGTAGGTGAGTTTGGAGAAGGTTCTTCAACAACAGTAGATATTGCTTGCGACAGGTTTCATATTATTTCTATTGACAACTCATTCTTATACGTGGAACAAGACATTGAAATAAAACCTTCTGCCAAGTTGTCTGACAAGAAAGGTTGCAATGGAATTTTCTATGTCGGATACCAATATGCTCCAGAAGTTTTCATGGGATATAAGATATATTCTAACTCTGACTTAGTTCAAACAGTAACATGGGCAAACTATGAATGGTTCGCTTTGAGAAACTCAGTACAACCACAAGCTAGAGAACAAACAGACCAATATGCAACTATTGAGAAAATAAGAAGACTTGACCCTAACGTTCCAGGAGTTTATGTTAACCTTTCTGGTTCAGATGGAACTGCTGCCACTAAAGTAAAACTGAAACTTAGAGTTCCTTTGTCATCTTTCCTCATCTTCAGGTTTTTAAGATACTTGCCAAACTGGGCAGGAAAAATTTCTATCGAACTTACTCCAAGCAAAAATAACTTAGTCATTGCACCAACACAAGACCCATTCACTCTTACTGTAGCTGGAACTGGTGGAGCCAAGTTCTGTGACTTTTGCAAAGGCAAGGTTGACTTAGACTTTGGTTCTCAACCTCAACACTGAAGTAAACTATTATTTCAATGCTGCTGGAACTGCTTGGGACCCAGTTAAGTTCACATGCGAAAAATTTGAATGCAAGAGAATAGAAAGCAGACTTGCAGTCTATATGTTGGACCCAGATATTTCAAATGCTTTAGCTGCCAAAATATTGCAGTTCCACTTATGTTCCCTATACACCAAATATCTGTCAAAGACTTTGCAGGTGAAGTTGGAAACCAAAGTGCTGACCCAGGTGCAAGAACAGATATTGCCTTAACAACTGCAATAAAACATGCAGATACTATGTTTGTACTGTTCAGACGAACTATAAATGACTATTCTTGTTTCTACAACCCCGGTATTAAATATCATATAAACATAGATGGCAAATATTATCCAAGAGAAGAATATTCTACAGTTGAGGATATGAGGTCATACAACTTGACATTAGATGCTATGAACTTTAACAACAACTTCACAACAACCATTAACCCTGAAATGCAAAGTTCTATTATGCCATATGTGAAAGTATGGACTCATACAGGAGGTCAAAAAACTCAATATACAAATGGAGACCGTTCAAACTTTTGGCTTGGCATTCCATTTGCTGACTCAGAAGACTTTATGGGTGGTATTTCAAACTGTTGGTACAGTTCAAATACAATATACTGGTGACAGAGACGGTCCAGATGAATTGAAAGCAAAGAAGTTTACAAAACCAATAGCACTTTTCACGGAAGATGCTCTTTTTGAAGATTCGTTCGATGAACCTGCTGGGGCTCCTCAGATTGGCATAACGACAGCTTCCATCGAGCAGATTTTGGCAGCAGGTCAGTAAGTTGTTCTTGAACTGACTTCTCTCCGTCAAATATTGACAGTACGCCAGTTTTGACATAATATTGTAAGATAAACTTACCTTTAGAATATCTGTAAGTTTTGTTGTTATATTTTTGTCTGCTTCAAGAACTTTCACACATTTCAGTTATACCAATTTCTTTGCTTTATGAAAATATTTTGGTTCAGCAAAGACTGCTATTCTATAACATTTCCATTGTTTGTATAAAGAACTTTCTGTCAAGTATTTGTATTGTTTGTGTGTGTAAACTTTGTTCTGCTTCAATTCGAAGAGATACTCGAATACGTCCATCTTTTTATTCTAAGTAAAATGTCATTTCCGAAAAATAGAAGCGTAA